GCTGGAGCCACAAGGAATGCCTTGTGACATTTGCTCCCATTGGCAGATCATGAGACTGATGCCTAGAGCTGCCACTCCCTAATCACCACCCTTGGAATTCCAAATTGCAACACTTAGATATTGCAACAGTCAGGGTCATGTGGTGTCCAGGAATCCAGGCTCTGTAATCTGAAACCCAGTATGCTAATGAGGCATCCTACCCATTATTATGTGATAGGACATTAAGTCTGTTATGCTAATAGGATGCTAAACCTGTTATGCTACTAAGGTATCCTACTTGCTGTGCTGTGATTGGACCACTACCCCTATATAAGCTTGTGCCTTCCTGCAATAAAGCAGACCTGCGTCACTGAACCTGGCCTCCTGTGTCTGAATGTGGCTCCGCTTACACAGTCTCCTCACCAGCCCTGGGATCCGGGACCAGGCAGAAGTAGTGACGATTGGAGGCAGCACCGCAGTGAGCAGAAGAGCGGCCTCAGGCCAGGGCAGGCAGAAGAGCGGCCTAAGCCCAGGGTGAGTGGAAGAGCAGCCTTGACGCCCGTGAGAACAAAGGAGCGGCATCTGCTGCTGGTGGTGACCGCAATTTTTATTTTATGCGTATGAGTGGTATGCCTGCGTGTAGGTAAGCACACCCATGTCGTGCAATGCCCGAGGAGGACAGAAGAGGGTGTTGGATCCCCTGGAACTGGAGTTACAGACAGTTGTTAGCTGCCATGTAGATGCTGGGATTTGAAACCAAGTCTTCTGCAAGAGCAGTGTTCTTAACTGCTGAGCCATCTCTCTAGCCCCCTCTTTGTCTGCTCTTATCTCCCACTAGGGTGTCTTTTCTTTTTACACTCGTTTCTTAGTTACTATGCTGGCACCTGGCACTACAGTTAGTGTTTTCTAATTATCTGTCAAATGAATGAATAAAACAAAGCATCCTAAAGCATTCCTTTGCACACAAAAAAAAAGAAAGAAAACCACTGTGCTGAGCTACAGAAATAGTAGCATTATTTACATTCCATCAATATCCTCATGGCATTTATATAAACTGTTTTAAAAATTAGAATAAGCTGGGCTTGGTGGCTCACACCTTTAATCCCAGCACTTGGGTTGCAGGGGCAGGAGGATCTCTGTGAGACTAAGGCCAGCCTGGTGTACACAGCAAGTTCCAGGTCAGCTAGGATTAGAGGGAGACCCTGTCTCAAAGCAGTAGCAACAAAAAATTAGAATAAAATAACTAAGAAAAGCCCAATGCAGTTAATTTACCTGTTCCCAACACTGTGGTAAAAGTTCAGCTTCTACACGTGTTGGTCCAACGTGACGTGCAAATGCCACACAACCCGTCAATATCATTTGCCTGAAAAATAATACAAAAAATAATAAAGACCTATATTTGCATTAGAAAGCAGAACTACAACCAAGAGTTAAAAAGATGCCCAGCCTGATTTGATGGTACATGCCTTCAATCCCACCACTCAAGAGGCAGAGGCAAATGGATCTCTGTGAGCTGGAAGCCAGCCTTCTAGGGAGAAGTCCCAGGTGAGCCAGGACTACATAATGAGACCCTGTCTCAAAAAGCTAAGCCTTATTACTGTTTCTCAATTTATGTCAAGTTAATGTCTTTATTATATATTGCAGTAACATTTCATTAACCACAATTCATACACACACACACACACACACACACACACACACACTTTTTTCATTTGCAGTGCTGAGGATCAAATCCATGGCCTCATACCATCACTGAGTTACATCCTAGCCCAATACTTCTGCTTTTGACCAACAAGAATCCCTTTGATTTATATCATCTAGCATTCACTGCTTCTATTTCTTAGTTTTCTTTTTCTGCCTGTGTGTGTGTGTGTGAGAGAGAGAGAAAGAAAGAAAGAGAGAGAGAGGCAGGGGGAGTCTCCCTGTAGTCCCAGGTGGCCTGGAACACACTATGTAGACCAGGCTGGCCTCTACCTCACAGAGATCCACCTGCCTCTGCTTCCCAGTGCTGGGATTAAAGGCCTGCACCATGCCCAGCTTAGTTTTTGTTTTTGAACTTTCTACCTCTTTTTCTATTTCATCTCTTCTTAGGAAGCCAAATAAAGTGGATAAAAGGAAACTGTAACAAGAAGTTCTTAGTTGCTTGCTTTCTTGACAAATTTTTAACTGATTTATTATTTTTGCACCAACTACATATATATGTAGTTCATAAATGTTTGATAATTGTTCTCATTTAATTTTTTAAAAAATTAAGCATTTTAGTGCAGCGACGATAGCTAAGTCAGTAAAGTGCTTGTTTTGCAAACACAAGGACCTGAATTCAATCACTAGAACCCATGAAGGAAAACCAGGTATGGCAACACATACTTAGAAGACAGTAAAAAATAAGATTATTTGATTAGCAAATGACTTATGTATAAATATGGTGTCATTTATGGTTGCTAGCAAAGAACTAGAGAAATCACCACTACTGAGTATAAAATTAGTTTTATAGAGATATTAAAGAAGTCTGAGATTAATAAAAGAAAATCCAGTAGTTACATATCAAGTATATTATACTAACGTAAACATTTTTGTCCATTTATCTTTTACATAATACAGCGCATTGTTAATCAATTGATTAGTCTATTTTAATAATATGTAAGGTGAAAGTACACTTAAGCACAGACACCAATGCTTACTCATGTGTTAGGCTACTAAGATACTTTTGGCCACCAGGTGGCAGCTGTTAGGTTTACATGAAGAATCTATGATAAGCTTTAAGTCTGTAAAGTTTGCCTTGCAAACCAAATAGAAATGTAATTAATGGCATTCTATTACTAAGCTACAAAGACATGGAATGACTTTTTTTCCCTCAAGAAAAAAATGGGATACACTTTTTTCTGTATAGTATCACTCAAAAAGTCCTTGGAAAAATTTCAAATGGCAATGGATGGTACTTAGACAGTAATTTAATTTTCCCCTATTTTTACTTGACCAGCATGTGAAGGCTGCTAGTGTTGACTAACTGGTTCGTCCTAAAGACATGTTTTTCTAATTACTGTCAGGTATATTTTGGCAAGAACAGGAAACAGACATCTAGTATAAAGTTTCAAAATCTATTAGATTGTATGCTCATAAATTTGGAATTCCTTGTATTCTAATTTTTGAGTTTTATGGCTCATGGTTCATTTATTTATGATTTTCCAACATTTTCACAAAATACAAAAAATTTAAGCCAGGAAAGTAAGTCCTAAGACTACAAAAAGCTACTGAAATATGAAGTACAATGCTATTTCACAAAGCATAAGCAACCTCACCCCATTTTTCATGAAGAGGAAGATTTTACAACAAAAATATCCACATCCATTATTTTATCCAATTGGAGCCTAGTCCACCTTCCCACCCACAAAATGATTTGTTCAGGGCTATACTCCTACAGCTTCACTCAGTACGCAAAAGATGTTACTCTTTAAGGGAGATAACACTGTTGCCTGATCAAAACCTCTGACTTCCTGTGTGCAGAGTGGCTTCCTGTGTCATTTTCACCTTCTCCTTTTGTTCCTGACTGCTGCCATCCTGGATTCCAGGCATGCTCTCAGGAAGGATCTGCTCCAGTGTTTTTGCCCTATCACTGTAGAGTTCCCACCCGGCTGATGCTGAAGGAACAGATTTACAACAGCCAAGGAGAGCTGAGTTCCTCACAGACTGGTGTGATCCTGAGGAACTAATGGTGTTGTACATGTGTTTGTGACAGGCAATACAATTCTGAGTAGTCCAAAGAACTTGATCCTGGTCTTCCTGAGGATCTCTGTCACTTAATTAATAAAATGTTATCCAGAGTCTCTGCTTTAGGGGCATACATTTTCTGTGTACTCAGGCAATAAAATAACTGTTTAAATGAAAATAAATTTCCATCTTTTCAGATGGGTCACCCTGATCTGTGCCCTTCCCTTTCCTCAGATTTAGGAATAAGTCATTTTCTTCGACTGAAAAAAAACCAAAACAAATCCCATCCTTATCTCTCTAGTAATATAGCAACTCATTTATTGATAGCTCAGTGATACAAAAATTCACATAGCATTTTCTGTAAAGTCTAACCATTATGAAGCCATGATGTATCAGGTTCATCTGTGAGGAAAACAGGAATATGTAGGACAAACCAAACATGAAGATAAAAAGCAAAGAAATACATGACTAGAAGCCCACAGGTAGTGGGCATAGAAGCGCACAGATTTGACATGAGTCACCGGAGTGACAATATGCAAGCAGAAGAACACCGTGAAGGAGGCCAGTATTTCCTGTTTATTTCAGTTGTACATAACTTTAAGTTTCAAAGCCTTTCGTAATTAAAGAGAAACTTGAATTTAACTGGAACCAACTTTCAGAGAATTATTAACTGGCTTGCTCATTTTAAATCACAGGAGGATAGATAAAATGTATGGATAGCTAAGTTCATGAAAATGTGATTGTAAAGGAAAAATTTAAATAGTTTTAGTGAAGTTTATAGTGGAATCACTAAGCTTTATACATGCATTTTGATAAACATATTCAATGAAATAGTAATGAATGACAATTTGCTTTGAAGGCTACCAATCTGCAGATACAACACTATTCATGCCATTTAGAAAGTCACTGGAAAGTTTCTCAAATACATTATATACTAACATTAGAGGAACATAGACATTTACACTTCTTCCATCACTATGTATTATGATACTTTTATATCACAATATAAAAGTATCATACCCAACCCAACCCAAACCAAAACCTGCTTTCTGTTGGGAGCATTTTATTACAAGAAAAACCCAAAGAAGTAGTTTAGAAGCTAATATGGTCTTATTATTTGTCACTATAGGTTCTAGTGTTCATTAAAAAACAGCACTGAGAACACAGGTATGCAGATAAGGTTAGGTTTGTATCTGGAAATACTAGAAATAATTAGAAATATTAGAATATTAGAATGATTGAGGGACCACTGGATATGACTAATTTTCTGCTATGCTACTAAATACACCTTATTGCATCTGACAGACAAAGGAAGGCTTGATTTTTAGGCAAATTACAATTCACCCATACCATGCAGGGGGACACTACTAAGACCTTTATGTTGCTTGCTGTATCATCTTTATACTCAATGTTCAGGTATAATCTTAATCACTACTAGGAGGCTCTTCTGTACTAGAAATGAGGAACATGAATTGACAGAACACAGAATTTTCAGATCAAAATGTGCTGTAATTTTCAGAAAATATTTGTATTTTGAAAAGACATTATCATTTAATATAATTTTAATATATTAGTTTAAAAAATACAAGATAGTTTTGAAACTATCCTTCAAAACATGTATGTTTGTCTAGAGATCCTGAGAAATTAGCACTTCAAGAAGGTATACAGAATCTTTCTGCAAAGGTTTAGTTGTCAGTAATTATAGAAGTTAAGTACTCTTAACAGGATTTGCACATACTTTTCAAAGCCATAGTTGTAATTATTTCCATAAGTTTAATTTCTTAGAGTGATTTCCCTATTATCTGTTTATTTGTTACAGCAACTTCCAGGTTCTCTTAAAAGCAAGGAAGTGAACAGGAAGGAACCTAATGACAATACTCAAATTTGAAGTGCTTTTCTTAAGTGTTTGAAACCATCCTGCAGTGACACATGATGGTGAGAGCTGCAGTGCACTAAAACAGATGCTGGGAAGGAAAGAAGCATCAGAGAAAAACACCAAAAGTGGTAACAAATGAGAAAGCTCAGAAAGTCAGCACTATACTTATTTCTTTAAGAAGTAACACACCCACCTTTGCTCATCATCTGGCCTCTTGATCAAATTGAAAAGTATGTGGAGAAGCTGATCTCTCTCTTTAGGCTCGGGATGTAGGCATGCTGTACACAATATGAGGGGGATCAATTCCTAAAGAAATGAGGATGAAAAATTCAAAATAAAAATACATTGCAGAATATTCTATTTTTTCTTCCAGAAAATTCTTAAAACCAACATTTAGACCTTAATATACAAAAAGAATAAAATTAAAAGATACATATATGTTGTTTATACAGAAGGATAAATCAAAGTGTAATAAAAGTTTCTTAAGAGTTGCAGGGCATGGTGGTACATATCTTTAATCCCAGCACCTGGGAGGCAGAGACAGGCAGATCTCTGGGAGTTCTAGGCCAGCTTAGTCTATACAGTGAGTTCCAGGCCAGCTGGGGTTACAGGGAGACCCTGCCTCAAAAAGGTGAAATAAATAAATAGTCAACTAAACTGTTTTCTTATCCAATATTTCCCAAGGGCCCGCTAAGTTTTTATACAAAATATTCCATCATGTGACAAACTGATACAGTAACTTTAATTCTGAAAGCGTTTCCAATTTCTTATAGAAGCACGCTACAATTTAAAGCTTTGAAAGTTAAAAAAACAACACAACCCCCCCCAAAAAGCCTTCCTGGGGCTGGAGGTGTAGCTCTGTGCTAAAAGGTACTTCACTTCACTGGCATGTGAAAGGCCTTGACTTCTGTTCATAGTAGCCCCCCTCCAAAGAAAAACCCCAAAATAAAAATACCAAAAAAAATCCAAAATAAATAAACAGAATTACAAAAAACTTACTCTAAACAAACAAAAACTCCTTCCCAAAGCACAACACGTTTCTTATGATGAGATATAATCTAGTAATTTTGTACCCTTCACATTTAATTCAGTGCCTAATTAAAAAGATCATGGGGGGGGGGTGCGCTGGCATGGTAGTGCAGGCCTTTAATCCTAGCACTTGGGGGACAGAGGCAAGCAAATCTCTATGACATCAAGGATAGCCTGGTCTATACTGCCAGCCTGATCTGCAGCGCGGGGAGACCCTGTCTCACAAAAACAAAAATTAAAAAAAAAAAAAAGATAATTTCTGATCTAGAGCTGTATAGATCAGTAGGCATTACTACAAATCATAAATATTTGATGCTAAACTGAAAATCTTACTATTCATCACATATTCAGCATGCAAAAGAGAGAGATGGCTCAGAGGTTAAGAGTACTGACTGCTCTTGCAGAGGAACTGTGTTCAATTCCCACAAGGAGACTACAAACCGTACTTAACTCCAGTTCCAAGGAATCTGAAGCCCTTTTCTGATGTCTGAGGCATTGCATGACACAGGTGCACTCACATACATGCAGGCAATACATTCATACACATAAAAATAAAAATAATAAAATATTTTTTTAAAAAAGTAAATTAAACATTTTATAGAAAAGTAACTTAAGTTTCTTTTTCATGGAAATGTTTGAAATTAATGTCTCACATTTTCATTAAGACAGTAGTATTCTGAATACTAAATATATTCAAAATGTATTTTGTTTTATATTTTGAAGTAGATTTTCAAATCTATTGAGAATAAAAGCACAAATGTGATCAAATATTTTTGGAGAAAACTAAACTATAAGAAAAAAATACTTTGCATGTATTTTAAAGAAATCTCTACAATATAACAAGACAAGAAGAATAATTGCCTGTTTCTCCTTCCCACCTACTCTACCCAAAGTACTAGCAGATTTAAAATAAGTGAACATGTACAGTATATGATTATTATCAACAGCATTAAAACTTGAAGGAAAGTTTACCATGTAAAAAGTCTGTTTTCATTTTTTGATGCTTCCTTAGAAATGGATGACAAAAGTTTTAGAGTTGAGATTGAATCCTAAAGGCATTTCTGACATTTATTCACAGCCTCTATTTACACTGTTCCTGGAATAATGAATTCTGTGGGCACATGCCTTCTGTGCCATTTATTCACATTTATTGTGAATTCATCTCTCTCAAGACTTTGAAGCACTAATATACACATTCCCTAGAAATTACTGTCCATATTCACCATTTCACACTCTTAATACATTCACAAACTGGAATCAGTATTCTCCTTTTGGTATCATCTCTCTTATTCAAGAATTCTAGTCTTTTAAAAAAATTTCATTTTAGGGGCTGGAGAGATAGCTCAACGGTTAAGAACACTGACTGTTCTTGCAGAAAACCCAGGTTCGAATCCCTGCACCCACATGGCAGCTAACTACTGTCTGTAACTCCAGTTCCAGGGGATCCGACAGCCTCTTCTGTCCTCCGCGGGCACTGCATGACATGGGTGCACTCACCTACTTGCAGGCAATACACGCATACACATAAAAATAAAAATAATAAAGTATTTAAAAAAATTCATTTAAATTCCAAATGCAATTATTTTAAAAAGGAGGCTAAACTTCCTTAAATATACAAGGTAATACTGCTTGAAAAATGTCTTTGTGAGAGTAAATGTAAAAGAAATGTACTAAAAATAACAAAGCAATATAAGACATAATTTCTAAATATTTAAGGATTTGAGGTCTCATGTAAAAGTAAAATAACTGGTATTTTAAAAAATTCTACAGCTAACATCAGACTTAAGGGGGGAAAACTGGAAGCTTAAGGGGAAAAAACTGGAAGCATTAACCTCTAATATCAGAAATATGAAAGGGGGATCTGCTTCCTGAAATACTGCTATTCAAAATATACTCCTATTTCTAGAAAGAGTAATTAAATCACAGGAAAAGAAAAACCTACCCAAGTTGTAAAACTATCCCTCTGTATATACTATGATTCTACATACAGAAAATACCACAAAACTCTTTAAAAAAATTTGTTAGTAATGAGACAAAGTCAGCAAAGTTACATATTTTGTGTTTCTATATACCAGCAATGAATAATCTGTAAAGGAAATCAACAAAATACTTTCATGTATAATACTGAAAAACAAAGCACTACTGAATAAAGACTAAAGTAGATGTAGATGAAAAGGCATCACACAGACATGTGTTGGAAGACTTATGCTGACAGGGTGCAGTACTCCCTAAGTAATGTACAGATGTAATGTAATATCATTCTATCACTTTTTTAGTCTTCTAACATCAAGTGTAATATCTCAAAATTCCAATGACCTGTTTCTGCAGAAAAGGGAAAGCTATGTATTAAATTCATAGGAATTGCAAGGGTCCCTAAATAACCAAGTAATACTGAAAAAATTAAAATTGAAGGACTCATATGTCCCAATTATTTTAAAACTTAATAAAAGCTACAGTAATCAAAACAACATGGGAGTGGCTTAAGGATAGGAATATAAACCAATGAGACAGAACTCAGATTCCTAAAAGAAACCCAAACAATCTATCCCAGCTGATTTTCAACAAATATGGCAAAGGCCTTCAATGGACAAAATGCTTTCTCTTGAACATATGTCATCAGGAAAACTGCATAGTTACATGTGACGAATAAACTTGTATCTTACCACACTCGGTACACAAAATTAACCCCAAACAGATTAATTATCTTAATATTAGAGTTGAGGCTATAAAATTATTAGAAGAAAATACTGGGGTAGATATTATCAGTCCTGGATTTAACAATGGATTCTTATATTTGATAAAAAATTGAAAAGCAAACAAAGAAACAAATGAGACTTCATAAAAATATAAACTTTTGCATGTTGTACCTCAAAAGATACTAAGAAAAGAATGTAAGAAGACAGCCTAAAGAATGGGAGAAAATATTTTCAGATTTTATATGATAGGGGTTTAATATCCAGAATATATGAAGAACTCCTACATCTAAAATATACAAAGATAATTCAACTAAAAAATGTTCAAAAGACTTGACAGAGTACATCAGAAGCTAATAAAATTAGATGTAGGATGGGGGGAAAAGAGTTTTTATTGTCTATCTTTTTATAGTTAAAAAAGTTAAGTCATGTTACTGCGTTACTTAGCAAAAACCTTGTCTGTTTCTCATGCTCTATGTACTTTGCTAGGGTATGATCATGAGTTTACTGATGAACATTTTAACACTACTTACATAATAAGAGCTTACATTGATATATATAAAACTTGAGAAATAAGAAAACGTCCAACTACTAATCCTTCAATCACAATGCACGCATACACATAAAATAAAAATAATAAATGAATTTTTTTTTAAAAAAAAGAAAGGGCCTGATGACATGATTGGCTACTTAAAAAAAAAAAAGAATTAAACAGGTGAAATACTAAAATGTAATTCAATGCCAGTGATATAATAAAAAATTTTGCCCTCCTTTTTTCTTTCTGGTGGTGCTAGGGAATGAACTTAAGAGCCTCACATGTGCTAAGCACACACTCTAAGGTTTTGTCCCTTTTATAGCCAGGAGTTTGGTTTAAAAGAACAAATATACACTTTACTATTTACCAATCTAATTTTGAGAGAATACAAATTTGATAAACTAGAATAAGAAAGCTGGGTGTGGTGGCACATGCATTTAATCCCAGCACTTGGGAGGCAGAGGCAGGCGGATCTTTGTGAGTTCAAGGCCAGCCTGGTCTACATAGTGAGTTCAGGTCACATGGACAGAACAGCTGCACAAGAAGCCTCACTGAAAAGGAAGGGACTCAATTTATGGAAGTTAGCAAGAAACAACATTAAAACAGAGAAAAATATATATATACACACACATATATATATGTATACACACAGGCACACACAAATCATGTGTGTAAATGAGTATACATACACATACTGTATATACAAAGTATCTGATTACAGATGATGCAAATTTATAAATACTTCATGCAGTACAATCAGATTTTAGTGGTAGAAATGTTTATGATAATATGGAAAACTAAAATAAAAAAGGTAAAACTGATCTTAAGAGAATGAGCTTTTTATGAAATTTAAAGATTGTATTAAGGAAGGATAGGTAAGAGGGATGCAAAAATTAATGCATAACGTGGATTACATTACAAGCTGAGAAAAGAAAAAGTTCAAACACCATTCTGCCAGACAGAACTGCAAAACAATCTGAAATTGGACACTGATCCTTCAAGATTTAGAAAACTTCCACATATATTAATATCTTATAACTATTTGTAAATTAGATAAAGCCATCAGCAAAACAGTTTCTAACCTTTTCAAAAATTAGAAACATCCATAGGAATGAATAGTTTTAAGCTATTTTTCTATTGTAAATACTTATAGGAATAAAAAATAAGAACTTTCAAGGCTCTACATAACCTTTCTTGAGGATCAGTACAAATTTCTTTTGCTATACAAATAGATAACTAAAGTAGCTTTAAATGATTTTGCCAATGCATTATGTTCACCTATCATACTGTGGGTCCCATGAATATGAGTGAAATCAGTGGTAAACATTAACATAATACTGAGAGACACTTATATGATACATTTTAAAGGTACTGTTAATGCATATTTTAAATAAAAAATTTTGTGATGTGGAAATATATCTCACAAACTCAACTATAACTTATTTGAAAATAAGTAGTAGTCATTAAAGATGATGTTTCATTCATTTTTATCGGCTAGATATAACTATAAATAATAACATTTTATAACCATAAAGAACTTTCTAATGTGTTTTGGCTCATGCCATAAGGTACACAGAGTAAAATTTATTTGCATCTACATCTAGGACATTTAAAGCATCTGTCAAGAAAGTAAATACAAGAAAAATTTAAGAAAGTCCTTAAAAATTATTATAGTCAATATTATGACTAGTCTATCATTATAAGATAGTTTATTTCCAAGCAATCATAATAAAAATAAATTTAAAACAGGCAGTTGCAAGTACATTAAGGAAATAAGTTACACTGTTATTTATTAGTCTCTGTTAATTTTCAATGAGTATCCACTTCTGTAGACATATAAAACAAATCATAACATCACAGAAAAAAAAATCAATTAGTGTTTGGTAATGCACAAAATACCATTCATGACACATAAATGGACATACAGTAATAAGAGTTACAGAAGCTAATAATAATGTTTTAAGCAAGACTGAAAACATGAATACCATGCAGTTTTACCGAACTCACCTGACAGAAGTGTAAAACCATTCTCTAGGAGCAGAGACGCATGCACAAAAGTAAGAATATGATTGCAAGTAACAGACTTTAACAACAACAAAAAAATATAGCACTAAACTTCCAAAACGACAGGAAAAAAAAAAAAGGACCACATGATGGGATTACTGGGATGAAAATACTCTAATGTGTCCTACCTCTCTCTTTGCCAACAGTACGTTAGGAACAATGTGTGGCAGGCAGCGTCCCAGCATTAACATAACACTTTTTTCACTGTCTGCAATCCGAGACACCTAGAAAACCAAATAACTAGTAAATGATGACTGTGGATGAGTTGTGTATATGATGGTAGAAGAACTTTATGCTTTGGATCTTGTTGCCTCTGTTGTAAACACATGTCCCAGCATTGTAACTCACTGTAATAAAGAGCAAATAAGATCAATTCTGTGGGTCAGAAATGGATTAAATATGCTAGTAAAAGGGGTAAATGGATAAGAGGGATAACTTATTCATTTAATATTTTATGATGCTGTGGCTAACATATGCCAAGCAAGTATTCTTTTACTAAACAACATTTCTAGCCCCTAGGAAGAACAATTTTTTTTAAGGTTCTATAGTAGGATGGCTAGAGTAGTCAAACAATGAGTTAAATATTAAAATACCTCATGGAGGATCTATGATTTTGCATGTTTCCAGATAAATGACTGACCATTATCCATAGAAATATCTAAATGTCATAACATACTTCAGAAGCATGTATAATTACTGTGTGCCAGTAAAACTAAATATTCATTTAAAGGATAAAATAAAATATCATTAAAAAATAATGGTGAAATCTAGGAGACCTCCTGGGCTTCAGTTCTGGGAAGCAGGTATAGCTCAGGAATGGGGCATTCTCAGAGTTCACTGGTTGGCTTGTTTGTTTTTTTCTGGAAAAGATTCCTAAAAAGCTGTAACCATTCCAGGGCAACAGTTTGTATAAGGATGTTGCATAAGTGGTGGTAGAAGGAAGCTGACCTAATTTTATAACAAAACTTCGCAAGGCTGTAACTGAACCAACCCTTTAGCTTTGTATTTTGCAAAAGATGCCCATCAGTAGTCAAGTGGAATTATCCGAAAAACAGCTAGAAAGGCAGGAGTACTCAAGTTTAAATTGGGAGGGGAAAAAAAGTAATAAAATATCTTCCCAAGATGAGTCTACAATGCAAATTAAAAAGAGTTAAGGAGCTGGGCGTGGTGGCACATGCCTTTAATCCCAGCACTTGGGAGACAGAGGCAGTCAGATTTCTGTGAGTTCAAGGCTGGCCTGGTCTACATAGTGAGTTCCAGGACAGCTGGGGCTACAGGGAGACCCTTTTTCAAAAAAAAAAAAAAAAAAAAAAAAAAAGAGTTAAGGAAACTGATCAGAGTTAGCAAAGCAAACTATCAAGGACAACCATTTCTAATGAAATAAAAATAATGGTATTATCTAAAGGTAATTGAAATATAAATGGGGAACACAAGTTGCTTTTTAAAATACTGCCCTAGGGGGCTAGAGAGATGGCTCAGGGGTTAAGAGCACTGACTGCTCTTGCAGAGGACCCAGGTTTGATTTCCAGCACCCACATGGTGGCTAAAAATTGTCCATAATTCCATTTCCAAGGGAATTCTATGCTCTCTTCTGACCTCCCGTGGGCATTGTACAACACTGGTGCACTTACACACATGCAGACAATACACTCATACACGCAAAATAAAATATTAAAATAAATACTGCTCCACAGATGTTATCATTAGATATACCATTATTAAAAAGAGATTACAAAAGATCACTTTAATATTTATAAATATAGTTGTAATAAATAATCAACTTCCTTTCTCATAATTTAAAAAATTTTGGTAATATTTCTCAGAGCATTAGTTTAAATAACAGATTTTTCAATTGAAATATAATCTCAATATTTGTATGATATCCTAAGAAAAATAGTAGAAATATTTTATGGGCTGTGATCACATTTACCTCTGATCCTAAACGGCTATCTGCTGACATTCGACAAAAAGAGAGGAGTGCTTGGTGGAAAGCAGGTGACAATTTCCTAGAAGAAAATATTGGGTAAAAAGGAGACAATACCAAAGAATCAACACTCACATTTCAGGAGAAAGTAAGCTATCTATTTGCAATATTATAACTCTTTTTCCTGAATCAATCCTACCCCCCTAAATGTTAACCAGACTGCATGATACTTTACTAGAGAATCAGAAAAGCACTGCTCATCTTAAAGTAGCTTGATACTATATAAATGCATGTCCCTTAAACATGAGTGGATTAAACATTAAGTAGTATAATGATCAATAATTATGGAAAATGTTTGAAAAATATAAAATGAGTGTTAACTCCCCTCAATTTTCAATAGTTCCAGAAAGCTTAGCAAAAGTAGAAGAGACACAAAGGTTGACTAATATGCTGCTGAAAGGCACTACAGGTATGTTAATACATACAGTAATTAAACTTTACTACATAAAGATTATAAAGATAAATGAGAGATTCAGAAATTTCTGATATAATTTAAAGAAAAAATTGATAAATTAGCTTATTTATATTTAATAAGGTCTCTGTTTCTAAAACACCAATTTCCACAAAGTAGGGTTCATAAAGTATGACTCTGGGCTATACTTTATGTGCTCAACCAACAATGAAAAGACTAGCACTCTCAGTTACATAGAAAGCTTGCTTAGCATGCACCACAGCTACACTCAGTTGTTTCCATGACTGCTGAGTTAGAGCAGTGTGCCACAACTTACACCTTTTTGCTCTTTTACACACCTCCTATATTTTCTCAGTGAAGGGGCCACACTCTTTATGTTCAAACCAGAAACCACAAACCAGTTTTTCACTAAAACTCACTGGAGTCATTTCTTTGTCACCTGAAATCCAACAAATTTTGCAACTTCCAATTGTCTTGCAAATCTGTTTCTTCCATTTTCATTCCCAATGTTCGATGTTCTCTTTACACACATCATTCCTGTCTAGTCAGAACACATTTTCTCCTTTTATTTCTTTGCTTAGTTAATTCTCACTTAAGTCTTCCAGATCTTATTAGATGCCATTTCTTCAATGAAACCTTTCCTGTTTGATAACTAGGTTGAGTGCATGATTGTGTGTTCCCAAAGCAAGACTTAATACTACTGATTTTCATTCTTTAGTTTTACATTTTCACCGTCCACCTCTCAAAGCATAATGCTTGTGACTGAAAGGATTACAATGTGTCTTACTTATCAGTGTATTCTTTAAAACTGTTTGGCACAGAGTAAAGAGCTACTGAATGAATTAATACCATCTATCTTCCTAGGGTGGACTGGGAATATAAAAGAAGATAGATATATGGAAGTTCTTAAAAACACTGAGGAACTTTACAAATGCTGTTATTACTCAGTACCTTGATACAGATTTTTATGGTTACATCCTAAACACATTAGAATAATTACAACTTGAGGACTGCACCACATCTTATTTAAAGTCTGTGACCTTCACAATACATAAAGATGAAAATTAAATCTAATAGATATAAAAGGTTGTGATCCACAAATGGAAAGCTTTTCTTATAAAAAAAAAAAAACCCAGTATTTTCCAGTGATAATGAGGATCTATAAGTCTAAGCAAATTAGTTATGCTTTTTTATTTATCCCAATACTGGGTACAATACAACTATATATAACAGGAGGAAGAATACTGTGGCTAACAGTGTACCATAGAATTAGATTTTTCACATAAAACACTGAGAAATGACTCCTATGCTCAAAGAATGAAAACTCAGATCTAAGTTCCTTTTTGAAAAAAAAAATTCTTCATTTACTTTTATGTGTATGAGTGTTTCGCCTGCACGTCTGTAAGTGTGCCATGTATGTGCAGTATCTCTGGTGGCCAAAAGTCTATCAGATCTTCTGGAACTGGAGTTCCAGTTGGTTGTTAGCAGCCATGTAGGTGTTGGGAACTGAACCTGGGGCCTCTGGAGGAAGAGCAACTGCTCTTAACTACTGATCCATCTCTCCAGACCCAAAGTTTTTTCTTAAAAGTATTTTCTTCAAATTGTAACTGAAAATATTTTAAAATTAAGCTTTATTCTCTCCACCATATAATTTGACCATAAAGAACAGGAACCATGGTTTAAATTTTTTTTTTTAGTTTGGGTACTGCAATCCAATAAAAAAATAAAGAAAATACTAATGACATACTACTAGTAATGGAAACAGACATAGGAAAAAGGTCTGAGAGTAAAAACTATTTTTTTTTCTTTTGTAACACAGGCAACTATGTGGCACTAAATCTTCTGAATTTGTTAATGACTGAATAGAAAAAAAAATGGTAAAAAGCACTGGGTAGAAGTGTTAGCAGCAAAGAATAACATACAGGTTATTTATTGCTTAGTTAAGACAGAAACTGGTCAATTTATGGTTTGCGTCTCTTTGATAAAATTAATAATTACTTCTGACATTTTTGTAACATGTATTTTACTATATGTTAGGTTCATATCAAATGTAAAAATTCATAATTTGCCAAAGGAATTGAAGAACTGAAGCTCTTCCAGCTTGACAATGAACTAAAGGAAAAATACATTTCAAAATGTAAGGTATATACTAACCTATTGGGTTTATCAAAATGGATTGTGGTTTTACTTGATGGCAAGTCTTCTCTTTTCTTCTTGGGCAAAGAACCTGAGGAATTCTCTTTAGGAACAGGGGAATCAACTTCATCTGTCATTTCAAGATGAATATCCTTGTTTTTTTTCTGGTCTGAACTATTTACAATTATACTCTGTCTGCTATCTTCAGAGTCTTTTTGGGAAGACTGAACCAAGGAAGGCTGAACAGAATCACAAACTGCTGGGATGGCAAGGTGTTCATTTTTGAGAATGTCCATCTCACTGCAGAAAGAAAGAAATTACTAGAAAACAATTACAGATTTGAAAGCATTGGCTATAGCACCCAACCTCAGAATGGGTTCAATGCTTTAACAGTAGAGCACAGTAAAAGCGAATTATGTACTAAGTGATAAGCCTCTTCTGTACAATATTAACGGGTGCTTCAGAAACCTAAAAGTGCAGCTATAAACTGTTAAAAAATGAGGAATAAAAATGGCCTTATACCCAGGGCTCAGGTACTATTGTTGAAGAGGAGGCAGAAAGACTATAAGCGCCAGTGTGGTGGATGACTACAAGAAATAGTTTTCCAGGCAGCTGAGAACTTGATCATATGAACTTACAGCAATGGTGACAGCATGTACAAGACCCATGCAAACTCAAACCACCCAAAAAGCCAGCACAGAAGTGGGGAAATGGATAAGGAGCCCCAAGCTTAGCTGAGAAACTATTAGCAACCTATCATTGCTGGATGAGGGAAGAGTTGCTCTTCTTTAAGGGAGTAATGCTATTTATGTCAATCAGGCTCCAGAGGATGGACTCACATTGCGGAACATATGGGGACACAAACTGGGACTGGCTTTAACATACATGACAGAACGCATGAAAGCCAAGGGGGAGACTATGAGAAGTGCAGAGAAGGGAGAGTGGTTTAAATATAATTAAGATGTGTTGCATGAAATGCACAAGAATCCAATAAAAATATATTGAAAAAAGATGTATTATATGAGATGAACAAAAATTCAATTAAAAAAATTTTAAATGGTCTTATAAGCTTGCTTTTGAAAAATCTACATTTAAAACATGGTATAATTTTTATCAAACTCACATTATTATTATAATATTAAATGAAATAGTAACAATGAATGCCACTAGTGTGGAGTTATTTCATTAAAACTGACAAGACTGAGGAGAAGTTAAAATATCTTACTTCTTAGTTACAAGACATAAATGAATTATAAGATCACTACATCAATTTAGTTTTTTGGTGAAGGAAGGCATTTTACCACTTTAAATATAGAAAGCAATTCTAAGACTTTCACAGCAGCTATGTGAAAAAATTATGCCTTACTATTGAAATGTTTCTTGTATCTATATAACCTGACAATGATTTCAGAAAATTTTGGAGGACTTTTAGAAATGATGACCAAATACTAACCTTTCAAGTCTTCTGATCTGCTCCATCAATGACCATTTTTCATTATTTAATAAACTAATTTTATCTTCTAATTTCTGCACTAGCAAGGAATTCTAAAAATCAAAGCAGGAGAAAAAGAAGACACTCAAGATCTCACTGTAACATCTGTACACAAATACCTTTTGCAGTCATTGATTACCATAAGCTGGTATTTCTCACCTCTATAGGCTGAGGAGTGTCGAGGGCTGGAGGAAAGTTGCCTAAAATTGGTGTGAGAGCCTCTAACTCCTCTTCATCTACTCCACTGGCCACATCCACAAGATCTTTCCCAGTTACCTGATGATTTCCAAAGTCTCGGTAAAGCTGTAGTAAGTCTGGGGGTTTTGGAATGTTTAATCCTACATCATCCCATAATTCAAAATCCTAAAAGATAAAAAGTAACAACATAAAAAAAATTGAGACAATTTTGTCTTGCAATTTGTGGTGCATTATTAGTGCCACCCCTGGAAAATGAAAGATAGTTTCATTATAATGTTAAAGTATGCCATGTGTGGTGGTACACACCTTTGATCCCAGCATGTGGGAGGCCAAGGCAGGAGGCTGTCTGTGAGTTCAAGGTCAGTCTGGTCTACTTAGCCAGTTCTGGGCCACCTAGGGCTACATAGTGAGACCCTGTTTTAAAAAAAGGCAAAATAAATAAAAGTCAACATGTATGTTCCAAGTACACATAGTACTTAAATTTATTTTTTTTATCTTCCATTACACAATATTATTTTTCTAAATAAGGAGGTGTAACTGTGTTAGATAATTAAGATGTTGCACAATATTTTTTTAGATTAAATCTCTCAAAAACATGATTCATGGGCTGGAGATGGAGCTTAGTGGTAGAGTCCTTCTCTAGAATGCATAATATCCTGAGTTTGATCATCAGCACTGAAGGGGGAAATAAGTTCTTAATTCATCAACTGTACTTACATATTACAGGTTACAAATAAACGCATATTAATTTTGTTCTTCCATTATCCCAAACAACAGATAATTACCATACTCTCTAATGAATTAACAATCAACCCAATCTATCTTTCTTGCCATATCTGTTTAAATCTAACTTGCATTAATATAAATGCTTCTGTCAATTTAAAGTATTCAAATAGTGTCCTTTCCATTGTGTTTTGAAGCATTCCCTTTAATTCAGTCTAATTCAACTTCAATAAAACTACAAAAGAAGCATAGCACCTTGAGAATTCTATGGGCAAAGATTTTTAAAAGTGCTTTGTCAAATTGCCCAGTAATAAACTGGGGACAAATATACTCTCTGCCCATTCTATCTTGTCCTTATATAACAGTATTTAGTACTAATTTGATATCTTTATGAGAAAACATTTTAATAATTATTTTTATTTTCTGTGTATGAGCACCCTAATTTTATATTTTATAAAGTATTTCTCTATAATTTATTTATGAAGCCCTCTGAGAAACTTTGGCATATTCATGCAAATAATCTCAATGTGGTACATTAGTCCTTTGATGATTTTCTTGAATAATGGCATAATTACGACTGGAGATTAAATATGAAGTAAACATGAGTAATGAAATCAGGGGTTTCAAGAAAACTGGACTTACATACAATATTCCTATTGTCTATTATTATCAGTTAATTTAGGTTAAAATGTACCATCTGCAAAATGGGTGATACTTCTTACCTCTTAAGATTTCTAGAAGAATCAGTTAAGTACATTTAAAGGTCTTTAATGGTACTGGCCTACACAAGAAGTAAACATATTTTAGCTTATATAAATTATTAACTTGGGGGCTAGAGAGATAGCTTAGCAGTTAAGAGCACTAGCTGCTCTTGTAGAGGACCCAGGTTCGGTTCCCAGCACCCACATGGAGGTTAACCACCCTCTGTAACTCCAGTTCCAAGAGATCTGATGCCCTCTTCTGACTTCTGTAAGAAAGACATGGATTCACTTATACACATTCATGTACACACTCATATACACATAATAAAAACAAAAATTTTTTAAAAATTAACTAAGTTATAAATGAAATATTTAAAAAATAGAACTGGATATTACATGTAACTCAAAAGATCATTTTTATTCACTCAAAATTTATTACATTTTTACCTTATGATTAGAAGCAGAAATGATTTCCAGCTGTTCCCTATCTTTGTCAACACTTCACACAGTTTTGGACATTCTGATGTGTGTGGCACCTCAATGTATTTTAACGTGCATGTCTCTACTGGAAAATGGTGCTAAGCATCTTTTCATGTGCTTATTTGCTATCTAGATATCTTCTCTGATGAAGTGTCTATGTAAACCAAATTTTGTCTATTTTTAAAAAACTGGATTTCTTATAGAATTTATAGAGTCCTAACAAATCCTTAGTCATGTATGTGACTTGAATACTTTCACCCAATCTATGGTTTGTTTTTTCACTCACAAGCAGCTTTAAAAATATATATTTTTATTTTTATTTATGTGTATGTGTCTGTGTGAGTATATGCCACAGAACCAAGAGAGAGTTGGCGTCCCTAGAGTTAAGTTATAGTAAGCTGTGAGGTCTGACTTGGATTCTGAGAAGCCAAACGTGGGTCCTCTAGAAGAGCAGGAAATGTTCTTAACTGCTGAGCCAAGAATGGCTCTTAAGCCCCAAGAACGGTTTTTCAAAAAGTATTATATTGGGGCTAGAGATGTCTCAGCAGTTAGGTTCCTCTTGGAGAGGATGTGGGTTTAGTTCCCAGCATTTACATGGCAACTAACAACCCTCCATAACTCCAGTTCCAAGGAATTTGACTCCCTCTTCTGACCTCCCAGGCATTTTATGCATGGGACACTTACATATATGCAGGCAAAACACCCATAAACAAAAAATAAAAATAAAAAATACATAAAAAATTGAAAAGTAAGGGCTGAAGAGATGGGTCAGTGGTTAAGAGCATTAACTGCTCTTGCAGAGGACCCAGGTTTGAATATCAGCACTCACACGAAGGTTAACAACCGTCTATAACTCGAGTTTCAAGGGATCTATGCCCTTTTCTGTCCTCTGCAGGCACTGCATAACATGGGTGCACTTACATACATGCTGGCAATACACTCATATGCATAAAATAAAAATTAAAAAAATATTATGCATATAATGTGTATGTGGAGAGGGCATGTATGTCATAATTTGGGAGTGGAGCTCAGAGGACAACTTTGTGGAGTTGGTTCTCTCTTTTCACTTTTACATGGGTTCTGGAGATTGAACTCAGGTCACCAGGCTTAGATGGCAAGAGCTTTTACCTGCTGAGCCATCTTGCCAGCTGAGAGTATCTTTTTTTTTTTTCATTTTGGTCTTTTTGAGACAGGGTCTCCCTGTAGCCCCAGCTGTCCTGGAACTCACTATGCAGACCAGGCTGGCCTTGAACTCACAGAGATCTGCCTGTCTCTGCCTCCCAAGTGCTGGGATTAAAGGCATGTGCCACCATACCCAACAGAGAGTATCTTTTTAAAAAAATATATATTTTATTTATTACTTCTATTTTATGTGTAGGAGTGTATTGCCTGAAAGTATGTAAGTGTACCTGTGTCATGCAATGCTCACAGAGGACAGAAGAGGCTGTTGGATTCCTATGGAACTGCAGTTAGGGACAGCTGTTAGCTGACATGTGGGTTCTGGGATTCAAACCCATGTCTTCTGCAAGAACAGCCCGTGTTCTTAACTGTTGAACTATCTACCCATCCCCAAGAATTTCTGTTAAAGAATAGAATATTATTTGTTTTGATGATAACATCAAACACACCATGTTTTTGGTGTGATGCCTAAGAAACCTTATTTACTGCCTAAAACTTTAATGATCCCCTCCCCACATCTACCTCTATAAGCTCTATGGGTTTATATTAAACTCTATCCATTTTGAGTTAACTTCTGTATATGGTATGGAATAGGGTTTGAATTCTATTTGGAAGGTATATGGATACTATACTGGTTTACTACTATTTGTAAAGAAGGCTACCCTTTTTGTATGGAATTGACTTTGCATTTTGTGAGAAATCAACAAGCCATCTGTACATGTCTATCTCTGGATTTTATCTGAATAGTGTCATTGAATTACTTGTCTATATAACAATATGGCACTGTCTGAACTGTTAAAGCTTTAAAACTGGAAGGTAGGCAATTTAAGTCCTCTTGGTTCTTTTTTTATTAAAGCTGTTTTGGCTATACTAGCTTCCTGCCATTTCTATTTAATTAAGGGAAAACTGGTTGATTGGGGAACACAAAAGCATTTCCTGTTGTCTTGTTCTACTAATTATTGAGGAAGTATAGCTGATATTTCTGATAATTTTTGCATCTTAATTGAGAAGGATCAACTATTTACATTTAAAAGTACTAACAAATCTGGGCTTAAATCTACAATATTATTCTTTTTTTTAAAAAAATCTGTCCTATCTATTGCTTGTTGTTTTTCTCCTTTCTGCATTCTTTCGAGCTCCTCAATGTTTCTCATCTATTTAAATATTTTATTAGTCATTGTTTAGTTAAAGACTATAAAACATGATTAAGTTATAACCAGAATACTCATGCTAGGTAGTTAGTATAATTTCTTTTACATAGTACATGCTAAGGAAATCTATCATTTGATAAGTAAATATTTATAATCATAAGCCACATAATATCATTTCACTCAGTGATAGACTATATATGAACTATATCATCTCGCTTAGTTTGTGAAGTATACTTTATAATGATGTCTCCAAACAATGAAATCACTTAATGATTGAAAAAGTTTCCTGTTGGTAAATAATGCACAGCTATATTGCATTTAAATCTAGTCAAGAATATGACAATGACTGATGAAGTAAATAAACTGCTATCTCCCTTATAGAACTTCTATTTCTGCAAAAATATCCACAGGAGATGTTATAAATCAAAGGAACAAACTTCATTTAAAATAATGGCCTCTTGAGGTTGGGGTATAGCTTAGAGGTAGAGAGCTTGCTTAGCATGTTTAAGACCCTGGGTTTAATCTCTAGTACCACAAAAATAAATAGACAGATAGACAGCCTTCTGATTTCTACATTAATAAAATCTCTGGCATTTTCAAAGGCAAAAAAGTCAAACATCCAAACAGCAGTAAGCTGTCACAATTTCTAATGTTAAGAGACAATACTAAAACTAGTCATCATGTCTTTGTCTACAAGATTTTATCAGAAAAATATGGGCACATTTGAAAATTGGTTCCTATTTAGAGAGACATATATATTGCCATTCAAAATACTTTGTTTTATTGAACATCTTAGTTACAGAGCTATTGAAGAAATATTTATAGTTAAGCTCAATTTTGAAGTATGTACTGATCTATATTATCAAATCAATGTTCTAGAAGTTTTAAAAGTATATTTTATGAGTACATACAAATATAAAGGGGTCATATAGCAACTGTCAAGTTGTAAAAAGCTACCTGAAAAGAAACATTAGTTCTTATTCAGAACACTAACAAAACTAAGTCTGTAAGCCAATGGAATAGTAGATTGAGTAGTAGGAGCTACTATTCTTGGTAACTAACCACCCTTGATGCAATTTCGTGACAGTAATAACTGAAAAATTAAACTAAAGCTGGGCGTAGTGGCACACACCATTAATCCCAGCACTCAAGAGGCAGAGATGAGTGAATCTCTGTGAGGTCAACCTGGTTTACATAGTAAGTTCCATGCCAGCAAGAGCTACAAGGGAGACCTTGTCTCAAAAATAAATAAGTAAGTAAATAAATACATCAATAAATAAACGAGAAAGTAAATTATAGATAAAAGTCATTATTTAAAACAGTGACTTTACCTGATCATCATTTTCATCTGAAAAGGTTATTGATGTAAGCTTGTAGTTATTCTTCAATAAAAATTCATTGACTAAGAAGTTTAGAGCTCTCTTTTCAAGAGGTTTTATTGGCTCCTGGAAGCAAAATAAAAGACAGGGAAAATTGTAAGCTTTCTTCCTTTAAAACTTGTGCTATAGAAGATAAACTGGTTTGTCATTCACCCACCTGAATTTCAGGACTTGATTTGTAATTTTTTCGTTCCTGTAAAGGAACTTCATGCTCTGGTGGAATAAAATATAGATAATGTTTTTACTATTTTACACTTACAAATATTCCAGCTACTTCTACATTGTAAAAGTGGGAAAAGTCTCAAAAAGTTTTATGTACACCACCTGCAGCCTTTGTCAGGTTGGCTCGGAGGGCCTGAATGGTCTCCTTGGCTTTCCGTAGTTCAAACTCCAGGACTGGACAGGGATTTGGAATAAACACACATAGGCATCCAACCAAGAAAAGGGAAACAAAAATAAAAAAAATAAAAAGCAAAGATGGGTATGAAAAAAAAATACAATTTGTATAGAAAACAAAATCATGCAATCTTTATGAAACTTGTGAACGCATGCAGCAGAGTTGATTTGCAAGCAAACTGGTGAAAGCTTTCCATATCTTTAGCACAATGAGGGGAGTCTTATCACATGTTCTAGCTGTCTGACAAGGAATAGCTCTACTTAAAAATAAAATCTACGACATACTTTCATTTGGATAAATTAAAATTTTGGTTATCTGTTTACTTTGTTTTACTCAATCTAGGTAAGACAATGTAATGAGATGTTTCTGTTTGAAGTAATTTTTTGGGGAAAAGGTTAAATTAGGTAAAGTCCAAGCAAATATCCTTATAAAAAAAACCAAGAAACCACAAACCCAGGATTTTTAAAAGCTACTTTTAAATGCATTGTCTAAAATGTTATAACAATATGTAGAAACATTAGTGAATAGAGCTTTGTCAGGCTGAGGAGTATGGTTTAAATATTTAACAAATGTTGGG